GGCGCTCCCCTGTGTGGGCTGTGTGCACTGTCCTGTTGTAGTTGAGCCTTGGTTGCTGTTGGCTTCCCTGGGAGGAACTGACCCCCAGGCCAATGAGTTGTGAGGACCAGCTGCAACTACAGAGAGCTGCTGTGCTGGAGACACCCTTATGGATCAGGATTTACTTCAGTGGAGCTTTGGTGTTCACCAAGTGCACCCCTTGAGTGTCACTCGTGGATGTGGTAGGGTTGTAGTCCAGCGTGGTAGAGTCTAATAACCAGGTGCACTGTCTCTGGGACCTCCTGGGAGGTGCAGAGTCAGCCTGTACCAGTGCCTTGCCCAGGGCCACCCAGCATGAGCTACACAGCAAACCGTAGTTGGCTGCTACTTGTGCTGGGCTTGGAGGTGTCCAGGAGAGGCCAAGCTATGAGCCAATGCAGGCTGCCGCTAGTGCCAGGCCTGGGGCCACTTATCAAGCCGTATGGGGCCCGCTGCTGCTTGTTTGAGATATTTTAGGAAAGTCCTAAGCATGAGGCTTGAGAGGCCACTTGAATAGAAAGGCCTCTGGAGATGGCCTGGATGAGCTGCAGGTGGGGAGGGGCGTGGCCTCCGGGAATCACGGGGCGGGGCCTCCAGGATCATGGGGCGGGGCCAAAGGTGTGATGTGCTGGCGATTCAAATATGGCGCCTGCCTGCCCGCTGTGTGCTGGGAGGACTCGCCAAAGAGCAACGGCCTCTGCCAGCTCTTCTGCCTGGGAGGAAGCTGCCCCTCCACCTCTCTCCCCGACTTCAGGCAGGCTAGTTCCTCCCCGAGTGTCCCGGGTCGTTTCAGGCTGCTGCCCGGCGCTGGGCTCAGAGGGAGCGTCCGAGTGAGTCCGTGCCGGGCCCTTTGAGAGGAGCTGCTGGGGCTCCCGCAGCCTCCGCGACCCTCAGGGACAGTCCCCGCTGGTTTCACAGCCCAGAGTTGTGGGGACGTCTCTTCCCGGCCTGGAGCCCTGGGCTGGGGCCTGCTGTGGGGCTGGGACCCCTCCCTCCTCTGGGAAACCTCCGCCGCCGAGATTCCCTTCCGGGTTTCAACCGCGGCACCGGGTGTGGGCCTGCAGCACATCTTTGTGATTCAGCCCCGATCCGCCCGCGTCTGCGCCCCTCCTCCTGGTCTCGGTGCTCCTTCAGGTCCCTGGTTGTGGGGCTTCTGTTCAGCCAGGCGTCAGGAGGCTCTGAGTGATGGTGGTTCTGTATTTTAGTTGTAATTTTGATGTGGTTGCGGGAGCGGAGGGTGCAGCTGTCACCTACGCCGCCATCTTGTTGTTCCGCCCCTGACCATTAGCTTTTTCAAAGGCCCTTCCTAGAGGCTCAGGGCATTTCCATCTTTTGTTTACCTTTTAAAAACTTTAGAATATTTCTCTCATCTATATCTGGGGAAAGCAGAAACATTTCGCCTTCACTGTCCAGTCCCGGGCACCACCAAATGGCATATTTACAAATTGCGGGCTTCGGATAGGCTTGCCTCACAGCCCCATGCAGGTGAAGTCACGGTGACGGTCCAGGTCTGTCGGGACTCTGTAGGGCTCTGTCATCTCGGTTGGAACGCAGGACAGGCACTATGGATGATGCTTGGCCCACGGCAGCTACTGCTCCTCCTTCGTCTCAGTCTTGGAGCTGCTACTGTTCCAGCCCCACCATCCTCAGTCCAGTCCCACTCTGGGGATGTCACAGTTGACCGACGAATAATTTGTTTTATTTTAGAAATGTTATGTCTTTGGCATTTATGTATAAATGAGACATAAATAAACCTTCTGCAAACAACACAGTGCTATTAGAGTAGGACAAGGGCGCTCTCTCACGGCTGCTGTTAACAGTGGAGTGGAGGAATCAGCCAGGAAGGCAAGAAAAAGAATAAGAAATGTATTTATTGGAAAAGAAGAGGCAAAAATTCGCTATTCATTGTTGACACGATTGTCTACCAGACAATGTTAAGACACTCAGCGGAAACACTATTAGGACCAAATAAATTTACCAAATCAGAAATTGTTTTCCTTTATACAAGCAATATACAAATTAAAATATAATGGAAAATGTTCCATACATAGTAGGAATAAAAATGCAAAATACCTAACCATTAACAAGAAATGTTGAAGGCTTATATGGCATAAAATATAAATTTCAATAAAGGGAGTGAAATAACTGGATAAGTAGAAATGTGACTGGTTACTAGATATTGATGCTCACCCCCAATATTCTGTATATTCAATCCCTAATTCATTTTACTTGAAGTTCACAGACTGTTCCTAAAATTAATCAGAAAGGTTATACCCCCAAAATTGTGAAGAACATTGAGATAGAACTCCTCCCCTAAAAAACATAAGATAAAAGTAGGATAGGTAGACACAAACAGATGAACAGAGAGCCATCTGCTCTAAAGGAAATTAAAGTAAGCATTTTATAGCAGTGGGGAAAGAATGAAGTATTCAATTAATAGCATTGAAATAAATGTACATCCACTTGGAAAAAAGTTTCCAGGCTTATACCATGTTCCAAATTAAATTCTAGACTAAGTAAACATATTTAGGAAAAAGGGAATATAAAATCTTAATAGAAAATATACATTAATATTTTCATAATTTAGGGGTAGGGAAGCCTTCTTAAGCAAGACTAAAAACTCAAGATTATAAGGAGAAAATTGACAGGTTTGACTGTACAAAGTTGTTCTTAATCCCTCATGGCCAAAGATCCAAACAAGAAATTAAAGATTAGCTATAGAGCCAGAGAGTACATCAGCAGCATGTATAACCAAATGTGAAGATCCATAAAATACAAAGAGTTCAGCAAATCAATAAGAACAAGATAAACATACTCGTAATAAAAAAAAGATAAAGCTTAGTGAGAATTGACAGAAAAAGAAATATCAGTAGACACTGAATAATTAAAAAGTTGCTCCACTTACTAAAATCAGGGAAATGTAAATTGGTGAAATATTTCCTCCCATGAGACTGATAAAATTAACAATATTGATAATATCCAAATTTCAGTAGGAGGGGTAAGAGAAACAGGCACTCTGATGCACAGAAGTTGGAATGTAAATTGGTATGAAACAGTATTTATAGTAAAATCACATTATGTTTTTAAAAATTGTGTGTGTGTAAGAATATGTATGTATGTGGGGATGTCTACACATACATATGTGTACAAATGCTTACCCAAAAACATCTGGAAGAATACTACCAAACTATTAACGATAGTACTTATGGAAAAGAGTGGAATTAGAAAAGGTAGTGATGATGGAAGATTTTCATTTTATTATATCTGTATATATGCATTATTCTTTCAATTATAATGCATATGTTTTATTTTTCTAATTAACAAATGAAAACTTTGAAAATCAAGAAGAAAATACCATACAGGAAAAAATGAACAACCATAAGTAAAGGCATAACTGTGCACTGAGGTGTAGCAATTCTGCCCTTCACTCTTTATTCACTAACTAGGTAAAGAATTACAGAAAGTGATGGGGAAAAAGTAATAGGACAAATTGGTCATTGAAGTGTAACCACATATGTAGATTAGAGGTGAGTCTCCCCGTTATAGGTGGAGGAGAGGTTCCTGTTTCCATAGCAACTCCATCAGCCCTGAGGAGAAAGCATGAAAGGAATCTTTTTCTCAGGAGGAAATGCATGAAGTGTGCACTGATTTACTGACATCACATTTACCTCTCGTTGTTCCTCCTAAAGGGGACTTTTTTTTAATGCTCAATCATGAAGTCCATCACTGACTTAGAATGGCAAAAGCCAAAATGACATTTCTGACAAGGTGGCCGGCCACCTGGTCTTGTGCATCAATAATGATGTCTCAGTGACGGCCGTCAGCTGTGACCCTGGGGGTCCATGTGCAGGAGCCAGGACAGCAGTAGGATCTTTCCCTCTACTCCTGGGCCTGCGGCATGAACTCCCTGGGTGACCTCCTTTACCTCTGAAAATGCTTTTAGAAAGCTAAACATGATGGATGCTTCAATAAATTACCTGAAATTGAATATTTTTCTACTAAAATGTCATCCTTAGTTGTGCCATCAAGAACAACCTTGGGAAAATATTAACTGTCAACTGTGTTACAGTTATTTTTTTCCTTCTCTTTCAGACATCTCGAGATCTGGCGTGTTTCATACAGTTTGAAAATGTCAACATTTACTATGGGACTCAGTGTAAAGTGAAATATAAAGCACCCACTGACTACTGCTTTGTTTTAAAGGTATGTTGTAAGAAGTCCTTACTTTATGTCTATAAGCAATTTGAGTTAATATTTCCTTTTAAGGAAAAAAATATTAAATGTTATATAGTTAACCACAAGTATAATAATATAATAAGCTTTTTATTTTAAACCAAAATAGGAAAAGGAGGGAACATTTCTGCAAGTTCAGATCATTCCCCAAGTCTACAACTCACAGTGAATCTGTCTGACAGTGTGGTGACTGCCAGAGGGGAAGGGGTGGGGCAGTGGAAGAAGGTAAAGGGGATAAATGGTGACGAAAGGAGACTCACCCCGGCATGATAAACACACAATACAACAAGCACCTCAAACCTATATAATTTTATTCACCAATTGCCACCCCAATCAATTCAACTTTAAAAAAAAAGAAAGAAAAAGAAAAAAGTAAAGGGAATCTGTCCCGGCTTCTTCATCACTTATGAAAATGAAAGCTCTACATTTTGAACAAATTTTATGTATAATTTTATTGATAATACTGACTAAATTTTTCAGATCTTTATTTATTGGACTCTTATTCCACTGTAAGAAGTTTTTAGAAATTAAGAATTTAACAAGATTTCCTAGAAAAATACAGAAAATATAAAAACTAGGAAAAAAAATCTTTTTTCTGCATCGGTTTTGTTTTTTTCTTAGTCAAATACAATAATTGGGCTCAGTCTTATTTAATAATTTTGACTACTAAGTAACCCATCCCTACACATTTACTTTTATTTATTTTTTATTATTATTATTATCGAATAATTGGTTGACGTGATTGGCTTCATTGAGGGCTCAGGATAATGTGTGGTGTTTATTTAGATGTTCATAGTCCACTTTGTTGTTACTGAGCATCTACTTTCATTACAAATAATAATAACAACAACCACTATTCTAGCTCAATCAGCCTGAACTCCCCCAGTATTTCTCAGCCAGGGCAATTTTGCCCCCCAGCAGACCTTTAACAATATCTAGAGACATTTTTGTTTGTCATGACTTGGGCTGGGGCTGTTACTTCTTATCTCTGATGGGTAGAGGTCAGGGACAGTGCTAAATACCCTACAATGCACAAGGCAACCCCTATAACAAAGGATTAGCTGCCCACAAATGTCAGCAGTGCTGCTGTTGAGAAGCCTGCCTTAGACAGAGTAGTCCAGGATAATGGCTGTACAGGGACGGGGGAAAGAGAGAGAGCAAGATTCATTCATTCATTCATTCATTCATTCATTCATTCATTCATTCATTCATTCAGTATTTACTGAATGCCAGCTATCTGCTAGGCACTGTCCCAGGTGCCAGGAATACAGAAGTGAACCAAACTTACGATAATCTCTGTCCTCATGGAATTTACATTCAGTGTGAGGGAAATGGCAATAAGCAAAAAACATGTAATGTGATGTCAGGGCATGATGAGGCTATGGATATAAAGCAGGGTAGGGGACAGATGTGCCAGGACTGGGGCCAGGAATTCTTTGGGTGAGGTGTTCAGGAAAAGGCTCTCCAAGGGAGTGACCTTTGACCAAGGGATGTGAGTGAAGTGAGCGAATAAGAATTATCTGGAGGAGACCATTCCAGGAACAAGAACAGTAAGTGCAAAGGCCCTGAGGTGGGGCCTGTTGGGGTCAGAAGAAAGAGAGAGATGAGAAGTATTCCCCCGCCTACTTCAGGTTCCTGCACTTCTCTGTTCCTGGGATAGAAAGGGTAATGAGAATAATGGCAAACACTTATATAGAATCTAGGATGCAGTGTTTTAAGAATTTTACATATATTAACTCATTTAATCCTTTTATCAATCTTATGAGGTGAGAAGCCATGATTCTCCCTAGTTTATAGATGTGGAACCTAAGCGAGGATGAGAAGCCAGCTGGTGACTCAGAGACCACCTCTCTCTCAGACACTGTTTACTATGAAACAAAATATCTTCTCTTATCCACCATACCCCCACCACCAGCGCCCTTGAACTGTGTCTTCATTGTGTTCCTATCTGACCCCAAGGCCCTTGTTTGGAATCCTGAGACCCTGAAAAATCACCAGAAGGGAGGCCCTCATTTCCATGTGGGCATTTCTGTGCACTTCATCTCTGGAGTGTTGCCTATATCTCTCAAGCAGGGAGAAGGTTCTGGAGAAAGATTCTGAAATTGGTCAGTAAACTGGCTGAATCACAGTCAGGAGAGGCTCATTAGAAATAGATTACGTCAGGACACGTGCCCAGATTGCTTGCAGGAGGCAGCCGATCAATGACTCTCTCTCATTGTTGATGTTTCTATCTCTCTCTCTCCCTTCCTCTCTCTCTGAAACCAATAAAAATGTATTTTTTTTAAAAGAGAAAGGAATACAGATTACTGAATCAAAATGTTTAAGGATGGGGCCCAGAAATCTCCCTTTTTATTAAGCTCAGAGCGTTAGAAAGTATCCTAAGTCTGGTAATGAAATACCCTTCCGAGTGGACAAAACAGGATGAAAGTTGTCAAAAGGAGCAAGGGCCCAAACCATAGGGCTCAGCCACCAGAGACTGGAACAGGGATGTCTGGCAGGAGAAAGACAAGATTTCAGACCTAGAAGTCCCAAGATGGGATTTTAGACATAGTGAACAGTCTCAGTTTCCCGTGCTGACTCACACATTTGGGACTAGGTCCTAGAGTCATAGCTTGAGTTGAAATATCAGACTGGAACACAGGTTATCCTGGGCTTCAGTGAGAATGGAACACTGAGACCCGGGGTATTGGACTAGAACTTCTGAAACCCTTTTATCCAAGACCTATGCCTTCAGGAAAGAGTCAGGGCCTCCCTGACGGGGAAGAAAGCTCAGAGGTGGAGAAGCCAGCAGGCCTCATGGATCTAGGAACCAACAAGGGTCAGAGGCAACCCTAGTGGAACATGCATTTCCGTTTTTCTCACAATGACGATCAGTTCTGTCCTCAAGCCAATTTCTTCATGTGCAGTCACCCTGCTCATTTTGTTCTTTTACATGCTTGTCAGTTCCTTCCCAAAACATTGGCAATATCTATAAATTTGCTGAGTATAAGGCTCTATCACAGTTTGGAGAACTTGATTTATGAACATTTTGGTCACATATTTCCCTTTCTGACCACTATGAAAAAAAAATTGTTGATATTCAAATATTTCATTAGGATAAGCAGATTTACAGAATTCAAACAACGCATACATACATTTCAAAAGGAGTTCAAGATGTGGAGAAGCATGTTAAGAGATTGCATGATTCCATGGACACACACTAACAGATAAGTCCAGCCCAGAAGGTTTTTATTCAGTGTGAGCTTACTGATTATGCCAGACCACGGCGGATGCTATCAGAAAAATTGGAATTTGAGTCCTGGCCTTTGACCATAACCTGTCAACCCTCACAAACTCCTTTTTGCAGTCCCTCTGAAGATGACTGGCACCATCACCCACCGTATCAGTTTCCAGGGGCTGCGATTAACAAAATACAACAAACTAGGTGACTTTAAAGAACAGAAATGTATCCTGTCACAATCCAGGATGCCAGAAATTCAAAATGGAGACATCAGAAGAATTGGTTCCTTTGGAAGGGCTCTGAGGGAAATATCTGTCCATGCCTGTCTCCTCTCTTCTGGCAAATTCCAGTGATCCTTGTCATTCCAGGGCTTATACCTGCATTACCTTAGCCTCTGCTTCCATTATCATGTGGCCATCTTCTCTCCATGTGTCTGTGTTTTTTCTCTTCTTACAAGGACACTAATCAACAAATATTCTATTTCGGACTTTGACAGATCTTTGGAGGGAACACAATTAAACCCATAATCCCCACCTACTTTTCCAAGCTAGAAGAGAAATCATCCTTGAAGTCCATTCTCTTCCCTTTCTTAGCCAGTCCATCATCAAGTTCTGATTTTCCCTCAGAGACGTCTCTCCTCCAGCCCTCCCTTTGTCTGTCCTTCCTCTGCACTGCGATCCACCTTCCACGTAGCCACCAGTTCTGCCTGTATTACTCTACTGTTTTAAAATGTCTGATAGACCCACTGCCTAGAGGACAAGTCCAGATACTAGTTCAACACATAGCCTTGGGCTCCATGACTTCTGTCCAGCTTATTTTCTGCCTCTTCTTTCCATGGCTCCCAGGCCTTAGCCACACAGACTTTCTAGATGCTCCTTAAATGTATTACAACATTCTATCACTTTCTCAGTCTGTTTTCAAAATTTACTATGAAATGTACCATGTCACAGAGTAATCATATATTGTGTACATGTGTGCCCCCCAGCAACAACCCTCGGCACTCCTTCTTAATTATGGTGTGAGCCTCCTACTCATCTTTATTTACCTAGGGCTTGGTATATTTCCAGGCACCCAGAGGTATTTGTTGAATGTGTGGAGCCTTGGTTCTAGTTATGGTTCTGACACTCTCTTTGGACTTGGACAAATGGCTTCCCCTCTCTTGCACTTGGTTTCCTCATTTGTAAGTTTAGAAGATCTGTAAGTTCCCTTTTAACAGGAAACTTACAATTCTGCAATTGCCCAGACCTCCGTGTTCTGTGCCAAGCTTCTCTCTTTTTATGGTCAGAAACAATCAAACCAGTTGCGGAAGAGTCTGGCTGGTGGCACTGAACCAGAATTTTTCCCTTAAACTGCTTTGCAAATCATTTTTCAACAAAAGTATCAGTTTGTCAGTAAACCCCTTGGCGAGGTCCCAAGACATCTGGAGAACCAGCACAGTGACTTGCTATATGATGTCTTGGGAGCCAAGAGGATTTGTGTTAACAAGGGAGCCAGGAAGGAGCCTGGTGTCCACTAGGTAGCTCATCTTAGAACCATAAAATCTGAGGATTGCCAGAGATCCTCGAGATCATCTGATGCTTAATTCTACTGTATATGTTCGTACTGCACATGTGGTGTAAGGAAGTTAGTGCAGCTCGTTCCACTAATGTTGGAGAAAATGAACCAAGATCTGTACATCTGCCTCCTCACCATAGGAGGAGCCACTGTTAGAACTCAAGTTCAAGAGCTCTTGCCTCTGTTTATGCTCAAAAGCCATATGTTTAAGGGAATGACCACATTTTACTCAATTTGGATGAAATTTATTGTACTCTTTAAGTGGATATCTCTATACAGACCGCTTTGTGCATTTCATGGCAAGTACAATGTGAGTTATAGTCTGCTCCTGGGAACCTGGCTCTCATATGACATGCACCAAATAAATAAATAAATACTCAAAACTTCTAATATAGCAAAACCAAGTCAACAGTATCACCTTTTTTAATTTCTCAGAAAAAAAAATAGCTGCTTTCTAAGAACCATTTTAAGCACTAAATTGCTCAAGAGACAGACCCATGTTTACCCCTCTTTCTTGACAGTCAGAACAAGAACCTTGTTCTAAATTAGGGAACTGTGTTTCTGGTACTGAAAGAGAAAGACTTTGGTTTGGCTCTGTGAGTTTTATTGTTGAAAGGAGTGCTTCAGGCATTTGTGGAATGTCAGATTCCATTCAGGGAATAAATTCTCAGCTTAGTATACTTTTCATCAATGTGACCTTCTGATTAATTAATGCTAACAAATCCTTCTTTACTACTGGGCCACATTATCTGAGCTGATGTACAGTTTCAATTTTAAGGGACTCCAAGGGGGATGCTTAGTTGGGGTAACATTTACAAAAATAAAATCTAACGTTCATATCTGTCTATTCAGTTCAATAACTTATTAATTGCCTACCCTATGCTCAGCATTATTCTAGGCCCTAGAGATAAAGTCGGGAACAAGACAAATATTGTCCCACACTGAAGGAATTTAAAAATAAAGGCATTAGCATTAAACTTAAGAAGAGAAAAAAGAAAAAGTCTGACTTGTTTGCTAATAGATACCAAACTGTTCACAGTGGTTAGTTTGGAGAGTGGGATGGGGCTGGTGGTGTTGGTGGGTGTGAGGGATAGATAAGAAGAGGATGTTCATTTTCCACTATAATGTGGTACTACTAAAAATAATTATTATAGGCATATATTACTTTTGTGTTTTATATATATATAACTATATATATATAACACATATATAAAATTTATTTTGAAAAGTTTGTCTTATAGAAAAGTTGCAAAAATAATAAAGTATTCCCTGTACAGTAAAAAAAAAAAAAAAAATTCTAACATTCAGAATTAATGAGGAAGCACTGAACCCAATAACAAGGTGTTACACATTCAAAACGCATTCAGAAATGCGTGCTGCCATCTGTCAGCCAGAACAGAAAATGACAAGCAACATTCAGGAGCCTAATGTGGAGCTCAGGAGAGAGGGGAACCTGCGGTACCTAAATAAATAGGAACTGACTGTTCTTCAAATGATGCTGTCACAAATTCTGAGGGCTGAGGGACCCCAATAAAGGGAACAGTTTATATAAAGGTAAAAGTATAAAGGTAGACTTTCTTCAATTGGCTCAAAGGCCAAAAGGAGGAATTCTTTATAATTTCTGAATGTTTCTGAGGGATCTTTAGAGTCTGGAATTTTGGCTTCATAGCTTGATATAAATGCATAAATTCTAAGGGGCAGGACAAGAGATTCCATGCTTCTAGTGGACCCCGGGATAAAGTATATAGTAACCTCTCTGAGCCTCAGTTTTCCCATTTGTAAAACCAAGAATTACTAACCTCTCATCAAGCACTCAGGGTCTCTGTGGGTCTTGTTATTTGTTTGGGGCACAGATAGCAACACCAATGACTCTCGCTGGCTGTGTCGTTAGATATATCAGCAAGGTGACTACTCCACTGCTGCTTCTCAGATTCAAACTGAAGTTCAAGGCACAATGCCCTTGGGTTAGGTCAGCTTTGAAAATAGCCATTTCCTTGAAGGTCAGTGATTAAGCCAAAAGCAAAAGTGAAGTGGGGAGGTCTGTGCAAATACCCAGAAAGCGGGAGTGGACAGCTTCACTCCTTTCCTGCCCACTGAACATGGCTTCCAGCTCTCTTGGCAATCCATCTCACTTTCTGCACCACCAGCAATTGTATGCTTATCCTAGTAGGATTAACAAACTCCTCTGAGAAATGGAGGGGGGAGAAGGGGATGGGGGCATGCGGGTGAACACACACAATGGTTATGGTTGGAAATTATTTTCCTGTATCATAAAGCTTATGAAAAATTATAACCACCCACGAAAAGTTACATGGTTCACATCTTAGAAGCTCGATTTGGTTGCCTGCCCCTTGTGGTATGGCCATAAGACTTCTGGCTGAACAAGAATTCTTGTACTTGTTTGTTTCTTTTAACAATTATTTCCATCTCTAGACTGGAATACTGACCATATACCAGGCCAAGTGTTAAGCCCTGGGGGTCTTCAGCAGTGAATGGCAGACATGGTTCCCACCCTCATGGAGTACACGGACTACCAGAGACATAAAACAGAGATTACAAATGCAGTGAGGATTCAGAAAGATGAGTGCAGGGTGAAATGTATGGCCAGGGGCCTCTGTCTCTCTTCCCCTCCCTGCCTGCGCATATCACTGTTCTCACTGATTGGGAGCTCCCAGAAGGGCTGATGATTCCTACTACAATCCCCAAGGTCATTGCCACTTGAGAATAGACAGAATTATTCCTTCTCCAGGCCATCCATCCAGAAGCCAAAATGGCCCATTTGGGTAGGAGAGGACAATTAAGAAAGGATAATTCCTGGTAGCAGAAATAACCCTAGGATTGACTAGGAGTCACCAAAACATTACTGATTCTGTGATATAAGATTTACGTTGGGTAAATTCCCTAATCTGGTAGATGGTGAAATGACTCAGATTTCTTTTGGGGATAGAAACATGGTAGATGTGAAAGCTTTCAAAAGTTGAAAAAGCAGAAGTGAAAATTATTATTTATAAGACAGTAAGGAGTACGTACGATAAATCATGTCCCAGATTTCTTAAATCCTTTCAAAATTTAGCTCGTTTTAAAAGTATCCCTCTTCTTAATCCTCAAATTGCTCCCAGTAATTTTTGCCATCTCAGGAAATCACATACATTGTCAGAGTTTTAAAAATTTTTTGAAATATTATACGCCTGAAACCTACATAATTTTATTAACCAATGTCACCCCAATAAATTCAATAAAAAAGTTTTAAAATTTCTTTGAAAGGCACTAATGAATGAAGAGTTTATAGATGGTCTTTGAAATGACTGTTTTCTAGCATCCCCAAATTCAGAAGGAGTCCCAGTACATCAAGTACCTCTGCTGTGATGACGGAAGAACCCTAAGCCAGTGGATCACGGGAATAAGGATCGCAAAGGTGAGCGAGCATTTGGACTCCACCCTCTCTTGAATTTGAATTTGCCTACCGGCTTCCTGGCCTGAGTCGTCTTCGTGCTCCTGAGAAATGATTGACTCATTCTTAATGGGTCAGTGCTGCCGATACTGTCCTTATTTATTTGCCCATTGGATTGTTGCAATAGGTGACGGGTAGAAACATGGACCCCTCCAATGATCTGAGAATCAGGGGCTTACTTTCACATGAGACTTTTCAGATCTCTCTTTACTCATGGAGAGCATTGCAAGTGTAGTGTGTAATTAAGAAACATGAGATGTAATTACATACATAAGGTGTAGAATTATATAAAGACATGTCATCGGAACTGCATGGCTAAAGTGGTCCTCTAATGTCTGGGTAAAAGTATTAACTGTCTCTGCTAAACTGGAAAATTATTTAACACATGAAAAAAATTGTTATTGAAATACTGATACCACTGACCCTTAAACAACCTGGGGGTTAGAAGTGCGGACCCCTGCACAGTCGAAAATCTCAGCTGTTTTTGACTCCCCAAAAACTTTACTAATAGCCTACCTGTTGACTGGGATTACCGATAACATCAACAGTCAATTAACACATGTTTTATTTTTTATTTTTTTAATCCTCACCTGAGGATATGCTTATTGATTTGAGAGGGAGAGAGAGACAGAGAGAAACATCCATCAGTCGCCTCCCCCACACACCTTGACAGAGGATCAAACCCCGAAACCTGGGAATGTGCCCTGACCGGGAACCATATCCACAACCTTTTGGTTTATGGGGCAGTGCTCCAACCAGTTGAGCCACCCAGCCTGGGCAATACATATTTTATATGTTATATGTATCATATACTGTATTCTTACAATAAAGCAAGAAAAAAAATGGTATTAAGAAAATTAGAAGAAAAAATACATTTATAGTATTTGTTGAAAAGAATGCGCATATAAATGAACCCACACAGTTCCAACCTGTACTGTTCAGGGGTCAATTATATTAAAAAACAACTTGGGGAAAGGTAAAAAGAGTACTTTGAAGTATTTTCCCCCTCAATAAGTATATTGCAAATGAGTGCAGAATTTGGGATAAATGGATGACTTCTTGCTTCTTTTGTGTTTCCTCCCTAGTATGGAAAAACCCTCTATGACAACTATCAGCGGGCCGTGGCAAGGGCTGGGCTGGCCTCTCGGTGGACAAACCTGGGCACCGCCAATGCAGCTCCACCAGCTCCACCTTCTACAGGTACCATGCACAACAGAAATCCTGACACTTGGTCAAGCTCAGAGCTCACGTTCAAACTTATCCAACACATTTTATAAAAACAGAGCTTTGTAGATGGTACAGAGTACATTTCCCTTCTGATGGTCAGGCTCAAGATGTACACGTATTGCCCTGGCCCATTGGCTCAATAGTTTGGCACACCTTCCCACACCATAAAGGTGGCAGGTTTGATTCCCGGGCAGGGAGCATACCTAGGTTGCAAGTTTCATCCCCTGTTGGGGCACGGATGGGAGGCAACCAATCGATGTTCCCCCCCATTCTAAAAAGAAAGAAAAAAAAATACCCTCGGGTGAGGACTTAAAAAAAAGATCTACACATACACACCCCTGTATCTGTTTCTTTATAAGTGATTTTTAGCAAAGCTTTGACCTTTTTTCAAGATATGCTTGTAGATAAGATGGTGATCACCAGTTTAAGAGTGAGCTGGTAGGGAGCTGTCTCATCAGAGTACAAATGTTCTATTTGTCCAAGAGATACCAGATTTTCTCCTTACTGGGTTCTTTGCCTCATGGAGTTGAAGAATGAAACTCATGGACAACGGAAGAGTAAGGGAACGAGTACAAAGGTTTACTGTAAAGAAAGCAAAGCTCTGGGTGCAGGAGGGGTCCGGAAAAGGATTGCCTCCAAAGCTCACTAGTCTAGGGATTTATATTTCCTATATTTGTTCCTCATGGGCTCCTTCTAAGAATTCTACCTTAGTGACAGCTAACCCTCATTGTTTTTAGTTTCCCACTTCAGGGGGCAGGATGTAGGGCAAACTTGTTTTTCTCTGTAGGGCAACCGTGTTTCTCTCATACCCTGTTCGCCTGGAACATGTCACCTTTGCATGGTTCCTTTTTCCTCAGGGTCCCCACCCTAAACTCCTGGCCATTTCTGACTCCTCAAGGCTTCATTAGTCTCCAGCACACTGCCCACACCAAGGACAGGATCATTCCCTGATGTTCTGCCTCAGTGACCTCATGAGCCTTGTACCCAATCCTGGACATCACATTTTAAGGGGTAGCATTACGGCTCCTTGTTGTGTTTCTGAGGACAGGGTGTTGAGGGATGAAGTGGGTACTCTGTGCAGCGTTACATAGCTTCTGGTTCCTGCAACAGCCCTGCAAAGTAGAAACTACTAGCCCACGCCCCAGTTGAGAAAACTGAAGCTGAGAGAAACTACTATCCAGTCTCCTCTCAGCAGCTGAGCTGTAATTCAAACACATTATCTTTATGATAATAATGGCTGAACTATCTGGAACCAACCATTTATGGCAGCAGTCTAGTCATCGTTTCCCAGTGTTAAAGGGTGGTCAAAGCAAAGGCCAGCATTTATGGTCTTTGCTGCTTGAAAGGGTAAAAGCAGCTTGAATGTGTGGAAGTTGCCATTAGGGCGACTTGAGGAACATTTAAAGATACTTCTTTTAGATGTGTCCAGTCTGGCTGCCCTGTGAATGGTGAGTTTCCTGGAAGAGTTGTTTTCTGCAGAGCACTTAACACAATTTGTAATTTTACGTACCCATTAATTTGTTCCTCGCCTGCGTTTTCCACCAGACTCTTAAGTGTCCAAAGAACAGCCACCATTTCTGCTTGTTCCACGGTGGATCCCCAGGCTTTACAAGGCTGGCGTAGAGTAAATATGTGTTGAGTTAGTAAATAAAAGGTTGCCAGGACTGATTGGGAGCTAGTTTCAGCGACCCTAGAAGGAATCCTAATTTCATCAGTCTTCCACTTAGGGGTGAAACATCACTTGAAGTTCCTAGGCTGTCACTCTCCGGGACGAGGCATCCTGGGGTATTTCTCTCAGGGGCATCCGCCCCCTTTCCAACAGACTGCTGACCTCCTTCTGGGGCAGAGACTGTATAGCCTAGAGTCTCACTCACTGAGAGTGAACCATAGGTCCTAAGTTCTTTGACCTTGGGGGAACTCTAAGGCACCTTTCCAGACAGCCAAAAAATCTTTTTGTTCTGAGTATTTTTCTCTGAAATGAGGATCACTTCCTTTAGTTGTATTTCTTACCAAGTCTTATAATTTTTCTAGTTATCTTTCACCACCATCACCTCTACCTCTTAGCTAGCTGACACACCAGCTATGTAATTATGAGCTGAACAGTTTTAAAACAATTGGGATACCTTAAGGATATCAGCTATTTCCCAGAATTAAGCAACTCATGTTTTGCACATAGTGTTACCTAGACAGGTTTCATGTATCTATCAGGAAGTGTTTAGGTCAGTAACTAGGAAGAGCCATTTTCAGTCAGGCTTGCAGGAGCTTCATCGTTGGCTAAGTTGTATACATTCAGACCACAAACCCTTTTCTGTGGTTCAGTAAAGACTAGGTCTGGTCTTTAGCCTCAATTTCTGACACAGCTTCAATAGCCTGTGGAATTTCCTGAGTGATGGGAGTGTCTTTGTTAAGCTAAGAGATGACTCTGGGGTGGACTTTCAGATGGGGGCTGGTCGCCAAAAAGACCAAGCACCTGATTAGAGGGTTAAAACCTCCAGGGGTGTGACCTCCAGGGAGAGGAGGTAGACTGGAGTTTGAGCTTGGTCACAGGGCCAGTGATTAAGTCCATCCTGCATATGTAATGAAGCCCCAGTGAAAACTCGAGACACTGAAATTTGGGGGAGCTTCCTAGTTAGTGAACATATGAATGTGCCAGGAGGGTGATGTGCCCTGACTCCATCGGGAGAGGGCATGGAAGCTTCAAGTCCGAGACCTTGCCATATGTGTATCCTTTATAATAAAACTGTAAGTATAGTGTTTTCCTGAATTTTGTGAGTCATTCTAGGGAATTACTGAACCTCCTGAGGGGGTCATAGGAACCCCTGAACTTGTAGAGGGCTAGTAGTCAGAAGTTTGGGTGACTGGCACTAAAGTGAGGGCTGTCTTATGGAGATTGAGCCCTCAAATTGTGGAGTCTGGTGCTAACTCTGGGTGGTCCCATCAGAACTGAATTTCAGTCCCCTTTTGAATTGCACCCAGGACCCACTTGGGGCGGAAATGGAGTACTCTCCCTGCCAGGGCCTTAAGTCTGCCAGTTATGTATATGTCAGAGGTCATGGGGATTTGGGAATGTTGTGAGATGCTATTATGATAGGGCACCCACAGATCCCATATCCAGCTATAGGCATCCCTCCTGGGAAGGTCCCAAGAAAAAGAATTATATACACCAGGAACACAGAACTAGAATTCTGCATTTTGCTTAGCTGGGCCAGTGTGCATAATTCCTAACTCAAGGCTCTTTGGTAAAATAAACTAGAGCTTGTGGTTTAAACCCAAAGCCTGAAATGGACATCTCTCCCCTAAGTCTCAGTCTTAATACCAGCCTCAGCCAAAGGTAACTAAAGCACCAGTCATTTAAAGGAAAAGAGGGGAACAACGGAGCTGGACGGGATGAAGGACGAAGGGAAGAGAACAGAATGACTGTCCTTAACCCACAATGACGCTGCCCACTGTTACCCTAGTAGATGTGGAGAGTGAGGGAAGGGGAGGGTAGGAGTGGAAAGACTTCTCTAGGGCGAGGACAGGGATTGAGACATCCTTTCCTCCTGGAGGGCTTTACATACAATAGACATTGACTCCACCACAAATTTGTGGACATCAACCACAAATGGTCCCTATTACTGCCTCTCGATCTTACTATGTTTCTCTTGTCCAGTTTCTCTAGACTATGGCCCCCAGAGAACACTGGCAGGTCTGAAAACATTTGTGGTTCTCGCACCTTGGGGGATGCTGGGGCCATCTAAGGGGTAGAGGGCAGGGATGCTGCCCCTCCTACAGTGCACAGGACAGCTCACACACAAGGAATTTTCTAGTCAATAATGTTGAGGAAACCTGTTCCAGTCAATGTAATCTTCGAGTTTCCCTAATTATCTTAGATGTACTTCACTCTCCTCAGACTTCCAACCCCCCAGCTCCTTTACTCTCATCAGAGAAAATGGAACCATCAAAAGGGAACTCCTTTAACTTCCCACCAACAAACCCAGCAACTTGTCTGCACCTGCACCCATCCTGGACTGCGCCCATTATGTTACCTCCTAACAACAGCCAACTCTTCCATACATGCTCTGGTCCCCTCTTCTGACACCAACTGGTGTACTGCAGCACAGCTCTGACCCCACAGGCTAAGGACACCGTCCCAAGGAGGCTGCACTTCCTTCAGATGCCAGCCACACTTCAGGAGTTTCCAGGCCACCCACAGTTTTGACCTCCTGGCTACAAACTTGGGGGTTTCCATGACCCTCTCAGATTCAACAGTTTGCTAGAATGACTGAAGGAACTCAGGAAAATGTTATTCTTAGGACTACAACTTTAATAGAAAAGATATAATCAGAACCAGCCAAATCAAAAGACACATAGGGTGAGATCCAGGAGGGTCCTGGATGCAGAGCTTCCATTTCACCTTCATGTGTAATTAGGGTGCAAAACACTCCCAGCACTTTGATGCACTCACGACCAGGAAGCTCCACTGTGTTCACTGTCCAGAGTTTTTACTGAAATTTCATTTCACAGGCATGATTTCTTTTTTTAATCCTTACCTGAGGAGTGAGAATATTTTTTCCTCATATTCCTAATATTTTAGAGAGTGGAAGGCGGTGGGGAGAGAGAAACCGTGTGAGAAAGACACATCAATTGGTTACCTCCCACATGCACCCTGACTGGGGGCAGGGATTGAACCTGCAGTGCAGCTATGTGCCCTTGACCAGAATCGAACCCCTCTGCTACACAAGCCGGCGCTCTAACCACTGAGCCACACCGGCCAGGGCCATGGGCATGATTGATTGAATCATTGGCAACATGATTGAGTTCAGTCCCCAGCCCCCTCCATTCCCCAGAGGTTAGGGTCTTTCTGGTAAGCAGCCCCCATCCTGAGCCACATTATTAGCATAAACTCATATGTTATCTTAGGTTCTCACGAATAACAAAGATACTCACTCAGATAACTTGGGAAATACAAGGGTTTTAGAAGTTCTGTGCCAGGAACCCAGGATGAAGGCAAGACAGGTGCTTCCTTATACTTTTCTCTCCTGCTCTACTGGGCCCTTCTCATCAACATGGCTCCCTTCTTCAAGCAAATTTTAAAACCTTACGATGCCACACCCCCCTCCAGCTACTGCCTCACCTGACAGCCAAACTATTCTAAAGGGTGGACCACATTTGCTGTCTTTTACTTCCACTCTTCTACTTCCATTCACTCTTCCACCCATCCAGTAAGGCTTCTGCCTCCATTACCCCATAGAAAATGTTCTTGCTAATCTCACCAGTGGCCTCTATGTTGCTAAATCTAACTATTGCTAACCCCTCTTCTTATCTGACTTGTCAGCAACATCCACACAGTTGACCACTCCTGCTTGAAACAATCTCCTCTATTGGCTTTCAAGATATCACACACTCCAGATCCCCACCTCACCCCACCTTCTCTATTTTTTTCTAACTTCCTCTACTAACTGTTCTTCTTTCCCACTTTAAATTACCCAAGGCCAGTCAATTCTAACCCTTTTCTTATTTTATACAATCTCCCTAAGTGATTTAACCCACTTTCAGCACCATCTCTAAGTATACAAATCCAATCCGGCCTTCTCTGTTGACCCCCAAACCAATGTATTGAACAGTCTGCTCCATGGCTTCCCTAGGATACGCCACAGACAACTCAAACCCAACATCTGTAAAACTGATATCATCTTACCCTCCAAACTTGCTCCCCTACTGTTTGTTGTTCTGTTTCCGTAAATAGTATCATCATCTGCCCAACTGGTCATGTAGGACACAGGCAATAAAAGCTCACTCACCCTCAAATCCATTCACTCCTAAATCCTGTTGATTCTTCCTTCTAAATATTGGTTAAATCTGTCCTGTTTTTTCATCTCTATTGCCATCAAACCGAAGCCATCTTTCGCTGGCCTCATGCACTAGTTGAGTTGAGCTGGCCTCCAGCTAAGCCTACATTTGCAGGCTTCTTCCCCTCCACGAGTCACCTTCCCTTACCTAAAGCCCTTTGGAAGCTTGCCACTTCTCTCAGATAGTCTCAAATCCTCAGCAAGACCAACAAAGCTGCATAATATGGGCTTGCCCATCTCTCCTGCCTGTTTCTCCATCCCTGTCTTCCTGTTCCTACCACATATGCCATTTGCTTTTGCCCAGTTCTGCAAATCCCCCAGCACCATCCTTTCTGAAACAGAGATTTTATCCCTACATAGCCTCAGGTCTCAAGTGAGCTGTCCTTTGTAAGCCACTCATAATTAATAATCTGTTAGGGTTTTGGGCTGGTGATGCAGGCTATGAAAGATTTCACAACTAAGAGAAGAGATACAGAGAAAAAGTTTATATTACTTTCCCCCACCCCCAGAAGGGAAAGGGCTGATGCATGATAATCAATACAATGGCAAGAATCTAAGGGCCAGCCTGCTTTTAAGCAGGTACATTGCTAGGCGACAAGGAAGGGAGGGGTTTGGGTTGTCTTGAAGTTGATCAGGTACCAGGGAGGTTGTCCTGAAAAGTTATACTTTGTTTGCTTAGGGAGGTGTCTTAGTATTTTCCCCAAGCCTGTGAAACATGCTTGGAGCAAAAGTTACAAAGAGTGCAAAAGAGGCCTGTTTGAAGGGGAGGGGGAAGGGAACCTTCTACTAACTAGAGACTCCTCCTCAGTGTGAATTATCCCTGGGTTGTGAAAACAGCAGGGAGGAGGGGGGTGCAAAGAATGTAGCCTTGAGAGCAGCTTATCTTGTCCCACCCTTTGAACAGAGGGGCTGTTTGAATCAGAGAAACCAACAATCTTGGGGCTTAATTATGAGGTGCTTCTCATAAATTGTGGAAGGCCACAGCAAAGACAAAGAGAGGCCTTTTTCTGGCCTTATAGTCTGTGTGATTATTAGTTTAGTATCTGTTCCCTCCTCTAGACTGATGGAAAGCATGAGGTCAGGGACCGTTTCTATCTTGTGTATTGTGGTTCCCCCAGCACCAAGTGCAGTGCCTGGCAGATAATAGATGCTTAGCTGGAATTCAAAGATGGTTGGGACGACAAATGAAAAAATGATTTAATACCTTGTAGGATTTCTCTGAAGATTAAGTAAAATAACGTATGTTAATGACCTTAATGCTAAATGCAATATAAATGTTAGTTCCATTCCTTCTAAATGAATGCTTAAAACCAATTTTTGAAGAACACCATTGCAGCAGTCAAGTGAGATTTCCATTGATTAAAAAGGTGAATCTTGTACATGATGGAATATCCTTACTAAATAGTAAATTAACCCATGTTGGTGCTGCTGTAGTCTTATCAAAAATTCTTAGGTTCTGTCATTGACATCAGCCCTACAGAGAACAAACATGCTGAGATTTTTTTGAATAAACCATACTGGGAACCACTAATTTTTTAGAGACAGTGGAAGGAAGGGAGAGAGGAGAGGAGGGAGAGAGAGAGAAAGAGAGAGAGAGGGGAACATCAATGTGTCTCTCCATCGATTGGTTACCTCCCACATGTGGGGCACCAGGGATTGAACCTGCAAGCCAGGTATGTGCCCCTGACCGGCAGTGGGACCCGAGACCCTTTGGGGTGCAGGCTGATGCTCTAACCACTGAGAAACCAGCCAGGGCCATTGATTTTTGATTAATGGCAGTTTTTCTTTCTTACTGGACAGTAGTCATGGAGGTTTTTTAGTACTTACTAAGTGATTTCATGACTTCGGCAACTACTTTCAGTCAGGACTCTATATGGCAATTGACAAAAATCCAACTCAATGTAGTTTAAGCTACAAAAAGTGAGGGGGAGAGATTTATTAACCCACAAAACTAGAAAGTCCAGGGGTAGGCTGCTTTCGGGTATAGCAGGATCCAGAGGTTGAAGTGATGGCATGAAGATACTGTCCCTGTGAGATGGCAAGGATTGCCACTGACCCTCTAGGCTTATTTTTTCACACAGCAAAAATCTTAGTTCAAAGATTCTCATCTCTGGAAAAGTCCCAGGAAGGGCTCTGTTTCATGCCCATTCTTAAGCCATCTCGCTTCACCCAGGGGGATGCCGTCTTCTGCTCCACCAGGTGGAGTGGTGGGATCGGCCCTTTGCAAACCATGTGGGTTATGAAGGGGGGTATTTGGGCAAGGCTGCACATTTTGCTCAGTTCCCTCTACTATTTTTGTGCCCAGAGTACCTTTTGCTGAGGATAATGTTAAGAAGTTGTTCCTATACATAGCAGGGTATGAAACCAGATACATTTCAACAACAGGAATTTTTTTAAAGAGGTTTTTAAGGTTTATTTTCCAATGACCAAAAGTCTTTAAAAGCAGAACATACTAGTCTGTTGTCCCCCAGGTAATCCAGATTTTGTAGCCTGTATAAAGCATGCACTTTCCTGAACTATTTGCAGAACCTCACAAAGTCTTGACATAAAACCTCAGGTTTTTCCTAAGGCCCAGTTAACCATACTATGCCCATGAATCCCTTTCCTTTGCATTGGAGATATAAACTGCTTTATATTTTCAGATGGACTTTCAAGAATGTTGAAATGTCTTCCCCACTCTTCTTGTCTTTCTTCCTCCCTCTCAGGACTTAAAACAGGCACCGCCCAGGCCAATGGTCAGATTCCCCAGGCTGCACACTCTGTGAATGCTGTTCTTGAAGAAGCCCAGAGACAAGTTGACACAACTAAGGTAGGCCAGAGAGCAACAGACATAATTATATCAAACTGTCACCGGTAAACCCATATTCTAAACCATTAGTGGTGTTCTAGTAACTGGTCTTTTAAAAAGAAAATAGCTAGTTACAACTAACAGATTATAACTTCATTTAGGTAATTGCTTTATATTTTTTATCTTAAAATTCTATAGCCTAGAATGGAAAGTTAAAACCAACTGCTATCACACTGCTTTGGGAAAATGTAAGATTCCTTTTTTAATGCTGAGGATTGATAACTGTTTTTAATTTAGCTACATATATCTGACTGAAGCGATTTTCTTGGTTTAGTCAATGGTTTTACACTGTCTGAAAGTGGCTCCTGCGTTTTAAGCCCTTGGGATTTCTACTTACTTTTTCTGAATAAATTAGAGCAACCAATTAGTCAGAAGCCCTACATTAAATGATTACTGAGTCCCAAAACCAGATTAAAAGACTACTAGTAAAAGGATTTCACTATAAAATGTGCAATTTATATTTTTCTGTTAATGTTCTACATATATTTCAGGGTGATGGAGAAGAAAACACGTTTTAAAATAATAGCCAAATTGGTATAACATTCTCTCTAACTTTTTTTCAGTAGAGGAGGTTAATGAAGATTCATTAAATATATCTAAAAGCTGTAGTTAAAAACTATAATTTAGTTACTAGCCCAACTGGTGACATCTCGACTATACCAGTTTCCTTGAAACTTGCCATGTGTGTGACTCAAAACAACCTTAAATAATTGCACCTTCAGAAAATTTTCTCTTCATTTCCACCTTTCATTTTGTCCATCAGCCAGTGGTGGAAACAAATCAATCTTATTTTGATTGAACTTCTCGGAATTTGTGAAAACCACTGTAGACAGTTATACGTTGTGTTTCTGCCATCTCATCATGCATGTGCTTTCAGCTGTTATTTTCACGGTTTCTGTGATGCGAGCTGAAGACAAACATTTTTAAATACTGAAAGCAATGAAAAGGATCCCAGAATAGAAATCACTTAACTATATGTGAACACCAATTCCCCAACTGACTGTTCAGAAATTTTTTAAAAGTACATCATCAGTTAATTAGCTTATCATGTTAAGCAAATAAACTAAATAAAGTAGAAACTCTATCATAAGGCACTTTCTTAGGAAAAAACTTGAAAATGGAATCTGTAGTTGGAAGAGGTTATTAGACAAAGAAAGAAAATGAAATCCTGATAAAATGTAAATTACAATGATAGTTATCACTGAATTGAGGGACTCAATTCAGATGCCTGAAATTTCTGGGGAAGTTGCATTCTATAAATATAATTTATTATCATCTCTTCAACTATTGGCAGAAGAAGGTCTGTGCTTTTGTTAGCCTTTGGCCAAGTTTGGTGTTTTGGTTTCTACCAATAGCACATGCCTCATGATTTTCCTCTTCAGAGCCACTCACATTGACCTCATTTGATCGCATCTTAACCCTGAGACATAGGCAATAATAGGGATTATAATTAGCCAGCCGGCTTTCACACAGTAAGAAAAGGTAAATCCTTAGGACTGTGGACCCGGTGTGCGCCTTCCCGCTCCACCCACCTACCACATGCCCTGAAGCTGTTCTGTCAGAGGGAGCAAGCCTGTAATTAGCGCCTCCCTAGAAGCCCAAGGTCCTGGGAAAAGGCCCTTTTCTTCTCAGCGTGCCAGCAGGGAAACATTTCTTTGCCAGGACAGGAGAACTTTATGCTGGGTTTGCACAAAGGTTACCTGGAGCCCAGAGAGAACTATTCTGGTTTTCTTTTTCCCTTCCACCTTCTTGGTGCTAATCAAAGTAGGACATTTGAGATTTTGGGAAGGTTTTGGGACACTCCTTAACCAGGTCTCTGCCACTGAGGATGTGGTACAGGGGCAAAGAAATCTTCCAGACACCTGCTCCTGACAACTGAGCTTCACAACCAGCTCAACTCAGGCCGAGAAAAATGCTATGGATGCATTTGCCTGTGACCCTGGGGCTTTTTCTTGGGAACCAAGGCCTAAGTGGGAATTCTAGGAGAGGCAGTTTACTTCCACTTCTAACTCCTCAAGCTACCTCTCAACTAGCTAAACTCTATCCCACTGAAGCTCTTTTAAAGATAACATTGGTCCTGAGGCGATACATAGTCTAAAACACAGCCTGCAACTCCTGGGACAGTGCAGTCTTGCAGTCTTCCCTTTAGAGGAGGCGCGGTGGGTTTTAGGGCCGGGGTAATACTGTTAAAGCGCTTGGAGCCCTCTCCCCTCCCAGAGGAAAGATGGGCTCAGGAACAACCTTGTAGCCCCAGGGTCGGGCCCGAGGCTCCCGGGGAGCAGACAGGGCCGCGATCAGCGCGCCCGGAGGCGACGGCAGCGTCACCCCACCGTGGCCCTGGCGACAGTAACGCTGGTGTTGCTTTGTTGCNCCCACCCGCCCTGGCGCCCGGATCCCAGAGGCCGTCCCCCGTTGTCACGAAAAGGCCCCCCATTCCCCCAAAGAGGCAGGAGAGCCCAGGGCCGCCCAGCGGGGAGCAGGATTTCATGTCAGACCTCATGAAAGCCCTGCAGAAGAAGAGAGGCAACGTGTCCTAAGGGGAACCTGCGGGTGTCTTTGCGGGACAGGGTCTCGTCCTTTCCAACCGCGGGTATTTTTTGTGACTTGATTGTCCTGACATCGTGGTCATTTTAGAGAAAATACTGAAGTGCTGGCACTAGGAAGGATGCAGAAGGTATCGCCGCTCCCCAGTGCCTTCCTAGCCAGTAAACTAACACAGAGTGTAGGGCATCTTTCCGCTGCGCTGTCTGTCCTGTGGTTTCCAAGTCACTGGATGTGTCTCACCTTCCAAGCCAACCAAACTGGTGTGTGAAGCTCATTCAGTTTATGATGTTCAGAGCATCAAATTAATAAAACTTTAAATATTTTTCCAGAAGATGGTCTTTCTAGAAATATCAGTGTATAAATCTAATGCAATTTCAACACTTCTAATAATATACTTGATTTTTTTTTTTAATATTACAAATGTCCCTTTTTCTCCCCAATG